AAGAGGCAGCTTAGCCTGTAATAGAAATGGGGAGGCGTAGCAAATGTCTCAGGAGGGAGCCTCTACTTTCTTCGACAGTAAAAGCGAAGACATAGAGCTGTACTTTCAGATGCTGTTCCTTAGCCTTACAATAAAGGTAGTGTTAGTACTAATGGTTGGTGCTTGTCTGGACTACCTCTAAGGGCTGACAAGTTCTTGTCCCTCTCCCTGATATTTTTCCTTTGGGCTCATTATCATATCCCTCTAATATGTCTGCTAACCCTTTTAAAGTAATGTTTAAATATTGTTGCTTTCATCTCATTTTCAGCCCGTAGCAGAAGAAGTTTAAAGTAGTTTTTAACTGTTCATTTTAGAATAGCATTTTCCTCTTTTCCCAACATAGCTTTTGCTATGAACATGAACTGTGATGCTTGCCTGAAAATATGGTTAATGATGAGATCAGAGTCGGATCTTTCCAATTCCTTTTGGGTCCTTGGCATTGTAGACCTTTTGGGTACTTAGCATTGTAGATGTGCCCCCTTCTATTTAGTCCCCATATTCCTCTGCCACTATTCTGCTTTTTGTTTTAGGAGAATCTGGAAACTCATCAACCACATCTTCTAGAGCTGATCAGTGGACTACTACAGGGGCCATTTTAATAAAATCAGCAGCAACAATAATTTAAAAATAATAAATCCCAGTGGTGGTATTAGTTGGTTTAATCATATGTAAAAACTAACTTGGCTGCTGCAAGCTTACAATAGAAGTAATACTTCTGTGTGAAGGTCTTCAGCCCACAGAGGCAGCAAAATCTGTTTTTTCAGATTGCAAGTTGATTTAAATCAAAGGCAAATGCCATTCGTTTTAAAACAAATTGGTATACTCAGGATTATAATATCTTCTTATTGTTTTTCTTATTTCAACCCTATACCAGATTGGGCTTCCTTCTCGATCTAGCTGCTAAGGGATCATGATACCCCAGTTGAGTAGCAATACAGGCCAAAGTAAGCAGAAGTAGTGGGAGGTACACATGTCTGCTGTCTGTGACATAAATCATTTTGGAGGAGGTGGGAAGCCGCCTTCTCTTGATAGCACAGCCAGATCCTCTCTGTAGCCAACAGGAACCATGGACAAGAGATTTCTTGGAGGAATTCCTGGCCATTCCTGCCTCAGGGCATCAAGTTCAGTTGCTTCGTTCTTACCTAAGTGCCATCCTGACTTCTCCTACCAATAAGAATCCCATCAGTGCCTTCACTCTTCTCCCACCACAGAGAGGTCCTACTGCCATAGGAACTCTCTAGGAGTTGCAAAATCTCAGCAGGCTGACCCATTGCAAGTCAGGAGGAGGGGCTCCTGTGAAATCATCCATCCCACTTCATTCACACTCTTCTACCAAAATTGTTTTAGGACACAATGCTCTTTCAAAAGAGAGTCAGTCTTATATTCAGAAATACCGTGACTGATAGGTCACAGATAAATTATTACTTGGACAACTTGAGAAATTGCTAAGCCCTCTATCGTGGGCATTCATCTACATTTGCCCAAACCTGCTACTCCCCCTCCCCCTCAAGTGTTTGTCATTTTCCCACAATGAGAAGATGGTGATGAAGGAAATGAAGACAGGAGAATCTACTAATTAGGGTACAGAATACAGAATAATAGTTGCAAGGGACCTTGGAGGCCTTCTAGTTCAACCTCCTGCCCAAGCAGCAGATGCTATACCATTCCAGACAAATGGCTGTCTAATCTCTTCTTAAAAACCTACAGTGAAGGAGCACCCACAACTTCTGAAGGCAAGCTGTTCCTCTGATTAATTGTTCCCACTGTCAGGAAATTTCTCCTTAGTTCTAGGTTGGATAAGTTTTCATCCATTACTTCTTGTCTTATCCTCAGGTGCTTTGGTAAATAGATTACCCCCCCCCTCTTCTTTGTGACAGCCTCTCAAATGTTTGAAAACTGGTCAGGTCACTCTAGTCCTTCTCATTGTTATTCTAGACAAGGGGTATCAAACTCACGTTGTTACATCATGTGACATATCATGACTTCCCCCTCTCTTTGCTAAACTGGGGGTGGGCATGGCCAGCACGTGATGCATCTGGCCTGGGAGTTTGACACCCCTGGTCTAGACCAGCAGTGAAATCCAGCCGGATCTATCCGGCTCGTGCGAATCGGTAGTGCCGGTGGTGGGAGACTCTGCCCACCTGCCGGAAAATCATTACATCCTGTTTTTGACCCTCTGCGCATGCGCAGAAGAGGCATGCACGCTCCCGTTCCCGAATCGGTAGCGAAGGTAAGTGGATTTCACCACTGGTCTAGACATACCAGTTCCTGTGACTGTTCATTCTCTGTTTTAGCCTCCAGACCCCTAATCATCTTTGTTGTGCTTCTCTACACTCTGAGTCTCAAGATCTTTTTTGTATTGTGATAATCAGAACTGGATGCAGTATTCCAGGTGTGGCAGTATATAGGCAGTATATAGCAGTACTAATTCTTCATGTGATCTTGATACAATTCCTCTGTTAATGCAGCCTAGGACTAAATTGATTTTTTTTGGAGGGGGGTAACATTCCTTAACTTGTCCTGCATTAAAACTATAAGAAAGTACCAGTGGTGGGTTGCTACCGGTTCACCCCAGATCGGGTGAACCAGTAGTGGCGGTGGCGGGAGGCTCTGCCCACCCACCCGGATGTCTCTGTGTAGGGGCAGAAGCTTCTGTGCATGCACAGAAGAGTTGCGCACGGGCGTCTGAGTACCCGCGCGCCTGCCAGCGAACCGGTGGCGACCAAAATTGAAACTCACTACTGGAAAGTACCAACTGCTGTTGGAATATGGGGCAGGGCAATTTATGGTAGCGTATTTTCTGCTAGTACAAGAACTAAAAAAATAGCATGTTAAGATGGTTGTGAGGAAAAGTCCCATTAAATTTACACATTTCAGTGAAGTTCATATGATTTTTGTTTAACCCATTTTGCAAATCCTATTACTGCAGTTTGTAAACTATTGCTATTATAATGTGTGAATGTAACAATTGTGATTAATTTATCAAAACAATTGGAACAAACCATGATTGCGTATATTGTGTGAACCAATCCTATGGGTCCCCAAACACCTTTTTGATGATGCATCTGGCTGATAGAACTGCTTTCAGCCATCAAGTACCTTGTACATGTTTTGGCTACAACCCCCATCATTCAAGTTAGCTTTAGCACAATGCATGTGCTAGGGCCTAGGCTGGAGAAGTTTGGATTGGGCCAGTGGTGGGTTGCTCCCGGTTCTGTCCGGTTCTTTAGAACCGGTAGTAAAAGTGGCGGAAGGCTCTGCCCACCCACCCGGATGTCATAATTGATGATCTGTGCATGCGTGCGTGTGCTCCCGTTGCGAACCAGTAGTAAAGGTAAGTAGAACCCATCCCTGGATTGGACCAGTGTTTCTCAACCTTAGCAATTTTAAGATGTATGAATTTTGTGCTGACTGGGGAATTCTGGGAATTAAAGTCTGCAAATCTGTTTGTAGATTTGTATTATTGGGCTATTGCTTCCATGAACAGGTGAAAAAAAAATGGCAATCCCCTTTACCTGAAGGTAAAAGTCCTAATTCCAGGGTGCAGCACATTTGTAAGCAGCAGCCAAGATTTGAAATGGCCCCTACTATTTATATTTGCTTTTTTGTCCCTACTTCTCAAGGCTATTGCATCTATTAAGCTTCTGCTTTAGCAAAGATTCCTGCTGTATTGCTGCAAAGGTTGAAGAAAGCTGCTTTAGAAAGCAACAGCTCAATCTGCATTCTGCAGCTGACATCATATTGCAGCAGCGCTTCCTGACTAGTCAGCCAAAGATGGTTGTTTGTCTTGTGTATCAACAGTCTCATCTTGGTATCTGGCCTTGCCGTTTGGAGAAACAAGCCACCAGGTGTTAAAAGTGCTTCCAATATATTAAAAGGAAAGCATCTTCCTCCATTTGCCTTTGTTATCTCTCCCTGTCATTATCTTTATGGGAAATTCCAGATAGTTAGCAATTAACTCTTGCCAAGGCTTATCTTATTCCAGCTGTGGGAAGGAGAGGCAGATAATTGTTGGGCAAATAAAGCTTCTGATACCTGCATGAAAGACACATGCTATCTGCTACAAAAAAATAAAATAAAATCTAGTGAAGTTCTGATGAACCTGGGATCTGGCTTTAGAGAATTCTTAACTCAAATCCATTAAAGTAGGTTTTAAATTTTCACATCATTTCAGCATGTTTTCCTTAGCTGGGATGAATTACTGATCATGAAAATCTGCTTTACATAGCATGCTTTGTATGATGTGTTTTGTTTGGTTGTAATTTAGTGTGAATCCAGCCAGTTCTGGCTTATAAACCATGTTTGTACAAATCTGGTACTGTATATAAGATTATACAATCTCGTTTAACATAATGCGGCCTAAGAGTAAATATGCACTTGAACGTATTGGAATGGTGGACATAGGATATTTCTTCAAAATTAAAAAACAACAGCATTAATGATAGGGCATTGAACCCTTTGTAAATTGCAATGGTGTTGAATCAAAAGGGGATTATGATTGCTTTGGACTTGATTGATTCATGTGATACATTTTTTGTCAAATGTGAGCTTATGTGAGGACTTTCAGACAAATGCATTAGTAACTTGGATTTGTTAAAGAAAAATAACTAGAAGGAATTCTATGTGTTTGCAGAAAAAAAGAATCCTTCCTTTGATTATTTGCATTACTAAACTTTCTGATGTATCAAGGATTAGTCAGAGTTATAATAACATGCTTCTTGATTAGATGAGGTTCTTCTTAGGAGCCTGGTACAGTGATTAGTCATGCTTTCATCTCAACCCAAACAGAATGTTTTTATTCTATAGAAAAATTATATTGAGTTGTTGAGAAGCAAAATGTAAATGGCACAAATAAGTGTGGGCTAGTACAAGCTTGTGTATTCTTGACTCCTAAAGCTGCCTCAGGGGAATTGGAATATACTTGGAAGTTGAAATCCAAAGAACCACAAGGACACCAAAAAGTCTATATATACAGATTTACATATAAAAATTGTGATAGTAAGAACGGTAACAAGTGCCAAGAATATATAGAAGAAAAGGACGGAATCTGAACTTGGAAGCTGATCAGATAACCCAGAGCAGACAGAAGGATGTTTGCTAAGATTTCCAAATTGCTGAGGGTAGCATTGGAAAAATGGGCAAGCAATATAAATATGGTATTTTTTCTACAGATTTTCAAGCTGTTAGGGTCATGCTAGACATAATGTTCAATACCATCTGCATTTGCAGAATCTTCAAGATGGCGCCGTCGAAGGCTGCCTCAGTGAAATGCTCTCTAATGGTTTAAAATGCACACTTTAAAAAAAATCACAAGCAGCTGTTGATATTTATTCGTGTGAAAATCACTGAAATAACAGTGACTGGGGAAGGGGAACCTCCTTTATATATAGGGAGAAAAAGCTTCTATTAATAGTATTATTTTGTGGGATGCAATCAGCTTTATATACTAGATTTCCAGTTTCAATTCTCAATCTTTCCAGATAGGGCTGTGAAAAGCGCCTGTTGAATCAATGTTAGCCAGTGAAAATATCAGTACTAGATAAGCCTATGGCTTAGCTCTCTATATAGCCAATTGATTTTTATTAAAAAAATGTGCATTTGTTTGCAAAGAAGTACTTAACATCCCACCTTGTTCAGTGTTTAAGCCAACCCTTCCTAAAATCCATCTCTAGCCATCAGGAATACCAGCTAAATGCCAAATCACTAGTGATGTGTTGTTTAAAGATGCTTACAGTCCTTTCTGTTGCTTAGGCAATGTGGTTGAAGTGAGCCTGTTATAAGCCATCCACCACAGAAAATTAGTTAGCTGGATGTCGCCACATACTGCCTATTGACTATATTCTCTTTCTTCCTGCTTTTTCTCCCTCCTCCTGCCACGTACAGCTTACTGCAGGATTAGGCTTCCTCCAGCTGCTGCCAACTTGTGAACAATCACGGTGCTGTGAGGGACATTTTGGTGACCTCATCTCCCAGACATCTCTGCTTGCCACAAGGAAAAAAAAAAATAGGAAAAAAAATTATTCTGTGAATATGGAAAGAACTTGTTCATTCCAAAGAATCCATGTTGTCAGAGGGCATCCCATATGTAGTTGGAGACTGTCATCTAATGCTCCAGTGATTCCAAATCTCAGGAAGACAAGCCAAGAATAAGCCTGTAGAAAAGCACTTTTACTCATTCAAATTCCTGAAAAAGTGCCAGAATATATAAATAGTATACCTCACAAGACGGGACTATGGAATAAAGTGGTTCTGAAGAATAGAGTTCTATACAGAGTAATACTCGCTTAGCAACCACAGTTGTTAAATGAAATGGTCATTAAGTGAATCCCTGATGGTGTCTATGATTTTACTTCAGCTTTCTTTTGCTTTATAGACCCGCAAAGGTCATTAATGGGAAGATTGGTCACAACTGTTTCTTTTTCATTACTGTTGCAACTGTGAATTGTTGGGATTGCTAAATGAGGGTTACCTGTACTCACTAGGACAGGGGTGTCAAACTCAAGGCCTGGGGGCTGGATTTGGCCCAGAGGGTGCTTAAATCTGGCCCACAGGGCCACCCTAGAAACAGCAAAGGACTGGCCCGTGGTGCCTCTGCCAGTGAAAATGGAGCTCTGGAGGGCCACGTGCGGCCCTCCTGAGCTCCATTTTCATTGGCAGAGGGTTGCGGGAGGCCTTTGCAGCCGAAAACGGAGCTTGGGAGCCTGTTTTCACTGGCAGAGTGCTTGGGCCACCAAAGGCGCCCCTGACACGAGTGATGTCAAGCTGGTCACACCCACCCTGGCCACACTCACCCCAGCCCCCCGAGGTCAAACACAACCCTGATGCAGCCCTCAATGAAATTGAGTTTGACCCCCTTGCACAAAGACTTTATAACCGAGGTAGGTAGTTTGTATTCCTATCGCAGGGTGTAAGTCAGGGCTGTCAAATTTGCGGGCTGGATGGATCATGCACTGGCCACACCCACGCCCGGTTTAGTGAAGGGGAAAAAAGTCCCAATATGTCATGTGACACTGCCGTGACGATGCACGGTTTGACACCCTTGATGTAAGGGATTTGTTCAAACCTCTGGTTAACAGAGATATTCCTTTATCTATGGCCTGTTACTTGGAAGACAGTGGGAAAGGTGTTAGCAAGTAAACCAAAAACTGGCAATGAGTGTCAGAGACAGAATAAATGTATATATCTTTTTGGGGGCTTGTATCCCACTAATTATTTCTTTACCCTTGTCTATGTGCCCCCTCAATTATCCCCAAGTAGCTACAGTCTTTGGCTGCAAAAAGATACCCTACCGGTAATACAGACATTGGTAAAGAAGGAAAAAAAATCTTAATTATCACCTTATCTTAATTATCAATTATCATGGAAGTTTGAATCTCCATTTACTATGATTGCTTTGGTTTGCTTAGCTAAAACCAACCCAAACGAACAACTTCAGGGAACCTTTTTGAGGGAAGGAGGAATGCTAAAACTGTCACGCATGTTAGATCCTTTGGCAACATTTCTTTTTCATAGCTGCTAATCCGCTGAAGAGTTTGATGTATGACATCCACTTCTTCCCCTTTGGTTTCTCAGCAGAATAGTTCCTTGAGAGAGTGATTTGGTCAGGGAAAAATGCAGGCAGATGGGTGGGAGCTGGAAGAGGGCAATGTATGAGTATCTTCTGAAAATATGTAGGGGAAGGGGGAGTGAGGAGCCTAATTCTCATGTTCTTCCATGTCTAGGACAAGACAACCCTTCTTTCCCAGCCAACATGAGCACAAAGACATGATTCAGACTGACTTATCTCAACTAGCAATGCTTCCAAAAATCTCTGTGCAAAAAATGGTCATTGCTATAATTAGTCAGAGAGAAAATTTTTACCCATTTTTTCTCCTTTTGGGGGTGGTCAACTGTTGCTGTGAGAATAAAGTACATACCAAGATACTTTCAGATTAAGCAGTCTGATCTTCCCCTCAAGGATACTTTCAAAGATACTGCTTCTCTTAAGGAGGGTATATAATTTATGGTTGTCTGAATGGTCTTTGAGACAAAGGGGGAAGGGGGAGTATTGCCTAACCAATGAAAGTTATTTCTACCAGTGGGCAGAAGTATGTTGGTAGAGTACGTGGCCAAAGACATGCAAGGCTGCATTTTTAGACTTCATTGAACGTCTTTCCCTGGTATGGAGAAGAGTTGCTTCCAAGAGTATGCAGTTGTGCAGGGCGGCAAACACATGAGGTTTAAATGAAAAGGGAATTGCACAAGGGTGACTTTATGCATGCTGTCCTCCCTGTTTAAGCCACGCTATATATCATAATTGTAAAATGGAATCATGGCAGGGATTGTGCTGTACTCGGCCTCTTTCTCAGCTAAGCAACAGCCTTGTATATGGCGCTAGCAGCAAATCCAGGGGCTATACCTGGAAGGCTTCCAAAGACAACGTGTAAACTGTCCTCTTGGAACATGGAAGCATGAAAAGCAGCCCTGTTTCAGAATCTGATTTTACCTTGAGAAATAATTTTCCTTTTCTTCCTGAAAAAGCACTGTGGATAAGCTGCTGCAGTAGCTATGCAAAGCTGTAAGGGCTAGAAACAAATTGTTTCTTAGGTTTTTGCATTGCCAATGCCTGAATTAGGAGATACAGGATGGAAAGTTATATTTCAGCCCTTCATGTCAGTAAACTAGATCCTTAACATAAATTGAATTCTGTGCACTCTCTGGAAGTATATAAAAAAAACAACAAGCTTAACATACAGATTCCCTGGAATGATATCAGTTGGAAGACTTGGATTACATTTCCTTCTGAGGGTGTATAATAAACAACAAATAATCCCATCTCGATCAGAGTTCTGGTGCAGGAAAAATGGACAGTGTGCTGAGGAACTGATTTCAGATCCAATCCAAATTTAGTGTTTCTTGTAAAAAGAGGAGAGGAACCATCCTGCCTCGCTGGTGTTCCAGTATCTTGGATTGGAAAAACAGTTGAGTTGATCTTTATTTTCAGCACAAGGCTGTTAGGAGAATATTGTCCCAATGGAGGTACGGTTTCTCTTCCCTTTTCTAGACTGTTCTTTTTTAAGTGGCATTTTTCCTGATAGAAAAATCAGGAAAAATCAGGTTATTTGATAGATATATGAAAGGTCTCAGTGGTCTCTATTCTTAAGTATAAATGTTTTTATTTCTAGGGAATGGAAAAATAATGGTATAATCTGTCATGATGAAATCTATCAGCCAGTGGGAAGGAAGGAGCTTGTGAAGTCATAAACATCTCTAACTGTCAGCTGCCACAAAACAGCAACTAATACTTTTTTGTTTGCTCTAAATTCTTCCTTTTTTCTATTTCTTTTTGTAAACCCACAAAACAGGGAGGAGGAGAGAGACCAAGGTAGCGAAATGAGTTCTGTCCTCCATCTGCCTTTCCTAGCCTGGCACTCTGTATGTGTGATAGAATTTATTACTCTATGGGAATTCAAACTGGTACCCGAAAACACCAGTTTAGGAAGCACTGACATACAGTAGTCATCTGGAAAGAAAGCTAACCTTGTGAATCTGCACCTATCCAGAATGCCAGATAGCTTTACATTGTTTCATTTTGCTCTGATATCTCCTAAGAGCCCACAAGAGAACATATACATGTCCGTTCAAACCTTAACTTCATCATCATCCTCTTCATCAACGTATTCAAAGGAATCACTGTGTCCCTCTCTAACAATGGTTTCTTCATCACTGTCAGACTTGTTGTGGTCCTCCTCCTCTTCTTCTTCCTCCTCCTCTTCCTCCTCCTCATTTTCTCCTCTTTGTCGCCACCTGGTAGAATATTCCTGTTGCTCAGGTGCACCTACTTTCAAGTGCCATGAGTTGGTAATTGGGCTTTCCCATGAGGCTTGTCTCCTTGGATCTTCTTGGGGAGATGGACTGCAGTAGGTGCTTCCTGCCCCATAATGGCATGCTAAGACACGGGCAGCATGGTTGAATTCTCTTGCTTCCATATTACAGTCCTTGTGGTGCCCTTTTTGCCAATAGGTCTCTTCTGGCACTGCCTCCAGTTCAGAACTAGAACTCCGGCTTCTCAAACAGGGAGATCCTTCCTCAGACATCTCTATAGAATGAGAATCTCCATTGGCATAGGCCAAATGTCCCAAGGGTGATCTAAGCTTGGAGTAATCCAAAAGGCTTGATACGTTTTGGCTTTCTTCACCATTACCATGATGAGATTCTGACTTCCCAGGTAGTGAATCCTCTGACCAGTTGCTCTTGATGTGAAGGGAAGGGTGAGGCTCGCTGCTGCTTGGGGGTTTACTCTCTTCGCATTCTTGCTTTTCCTTGCAGTCAGAGCTGTTGCTTCCTGAGAAGCTGATGACATGAAGAAGTTCGCTCATGAGAGAGGGGCCAAGGTCCAGGCGGAAAGACAGCAAGGAATCTGAACGCTGCAATGCTGACTCAGCAGGATGGCAGCTCTCGGGAGGCTTCTCAGATCGGGGAACACGTGGAATGGTGCAGAATCCAGATTCTAATCCTGAAAGGCCAAGAAATCAATAATGAGAAGAAGAAAAAAATAGAAAACTACTTCTCTGCATTAACTGTTATAGCAGAAGGTGACAATTCTATATTTGTGGAATGTGAAATATGAGGACAGGTCGGGGTTATTTCCCAATTCTAGGGAAACTAGAGGTTCTACATGTACCCTATTCATAACTGCAGCTTTCATGTTGCAAATTTCTGGACAAAAGGTTGACAATGTGACAGCAAATGGATTAAAGGCAAAACAAAATAATCAAGGAAATGAAAACCAATCATATATATTTGACTGTACCTGGGATTTCTAGGATCAGATTTCAAAATGGTTCTTTTTTTCTTTAAGCCCACAAATGTGGAGGTTTTTTTGGGTGGAGGGGGAGGAGATGAGAGAGCAAGGTAGAGAGGTGAGTTATTTCTTCCTCTTAGTGCTTAGTCAACGCTTCTCTGCAAGAGATTACCATTTCAGGATAAGACTATTGTGGAGTGAGTGCACCATGTCAGACTAACATTGATTCACATTTGCCACCTCATGCACATTTGTGTTAATAGCATACAGCTAAAATATGCAAATTAGTCACAGCTCAGGGGATTGTGAGCTGTTTCTAATGAACTGTGCTTGGTGCCAAGAGCAAATTTTTCATCCCTGAGTTAACCTAGTAGCCATCTTTCAACAGTGGGCTCCCAGAGCCAGTAAAGGAAATATGTAGAAACAGGTTCAGAATTAGAGTGTTATATTACATTTCTGGGTCTGTTTTCCCATTTTATGACATACGTCTTGTGTCTATTTCCACATGGGATATATGTATTCTATTTCTAGACTAAAACTGAAGACAGAACATATTCTTAAAAATATATAAACCCATGGGGTCCATAATCAGGCATATTAACATCATCTCAAAAATAGTTCTGTTATATGCCATTTAACATCAGTTTGTAAGTTATGGCCGTTGTGGGTTGATATGAACACATACATGATGTCATTTGCTGCCCCTCCCTCTGGAATGTCCCTGCGCCTGATATTACAAAGTGCTAACCCATTGGCAGAATATCATAACATATTGAACCAGAAACTATGATTTATTATTCATTTTAATTTTAACCCTGTTCAACCTGCTGTGCGAGTTCTGATTATGATTCCTGAACAATGGGAATTCTTGTATCTAAAAGATGCAAAGTAGACTATTTTGTGACATTCTGGCTCATTTATCCTCCTATCCTTAATCAGAATTACTGTATGTCATATATTGGCAGAAAGAATGAAATGGATAAGGTGACAGATCGTCCATTAAATATAAATAGTGCTAGATTATCTTCATAGAGCAGTCTTTCCAAACCTGGTGCCTTCAAGGCTGAGTATTATTTATATTGTGGGAAGCATTATGTTTTGAATATCAGTTGCCAGAGAAACATGTGCCAGGAGGAACCAAGGAAGTTTATCAACATCCTATAAAACTCTGGGGTGGCCTCTGTGGGGAAAAGAGATTGTTGATAAAGACAGATCTAGCCGACTGTCAAGTCCAAACCCAGAGCCAAACACCGAAATCCAATCCAATTCAATTCTTTATTTGCTTATACTTAATGGACAGAATCTTGCCAAACTAAAGCTATAACCTGCTAGATATATCCTGAGAGATTCTAGGGTGTGGCTACCCTGAACCTCTCCCTCCCTCCCCATCCAGCTCAGGACTATGCAGTCTCTTAATTTGGGCCTCTGATGGAATTTACTTTCCTCCCGAGGAAAGCCCTGTGCTGCCAAAGCTCTTCTCCAGGTACACATTCCATCACATCGACTCTTTATTTTAAAATATTACATCCTGCCTTTTTATTTAAAAAGCATAATAAATGATCTTACGATAGTTCAGTATGATTACTTAATTTTCCAAGGCACATTTCAGTCATTCTCATCTTTGGAATAAAGATGCCTTAGGTACATAGGCACTGCCTTAGTCAAGATCTTCTGTGAATATTCTCCTGCCTGCTGCTAAACATGTAATTCTAACAGCAGTATGAATTATGCATCAGAGCCAGCTGGCTTGGGCAATGAAATATTGGTCATGCTTATTTAGGGAGCAAATACATTGGGAGCAATGGAACCGCAGGTCTGATTACACTCTGAAGATCGAATGGATAAAAGCAGAAAGAATGGGGAACTAGTTTTCTCTCTAAATGATTGGTTAACCTTATCTTTTCTGCACTTTGCTCTTGAAGCTGGAATTTACAGGAGGGATGATAAAATGTAAAAAGCTGGAAAGCGGAATGTGATTATTGCAACAACTGCACAATTCATCATGTACAACAGAGGGCAGCATTGTCTCGTGTCTCTTTTGAAGAAAGCCGGGGAAAGAACGACAAGGCTAGACTGGCAATGTGGGTAAAGATAACTGTACAGCTGCAGTTGCTCAGAGTGACTCTCCTGGTCCCACCTCAGTGCAAATGCTGCAGTTTTCTACTGCAGATGCAGACACCACAGGAGGTAAAGAAAGCAACCGCCAATTAAACAGCGTAAAACCTGAATGTGTTCCACTGTTTTGAGTTGAGATCAGAATTGGACTAGACTTCTTCCTATATTGATTAGGTGGGTGCACAGAAGATTGTCTGGAAACATCTGAGCAACATTTAGATTTAGCATTTGACACTGGAGGAGATCTGTTCTACTTCATTCTGGTTTCCTCTCGTGATCCAAATATTCCTGTTTCATAAATTCCTTCCTTTACATACAGATTCTTCTTTTTCCTATCAGCTGCTTGCTTGGCATTCTGTACTGAATACAGATTCCCTTGCTGGACACGGGCCATGTTTCCAGCACTAATCTTTCCAACATCTTACATATATATCTACTCAAACCTCGCAAAACAGCACAGATTTATAACCTGATTCTAGATATGTTTCCACTGATGCATGTCTCTTTGCATTTGCTCATTAAGATTTAACTTCCAAAACAAGTGTACCAAAAAATACCTTTGATGATGATTTTTCCCCACTGCTCTATATAACTCTTCTTTTGACATATTTATCAACTCTCCAAATAGATACACGTCATTGCATGTATTAGCATAGACCCAGAGTTAATTCTGTGTTTACAGTAATGAAATGTCCGACTTCTGTAAGCACAATGTCAAAGTCATGATCTATTTATTGATTCAAAGTATTTTATTGTTACACCAATTTCAGCTGTAAAGGATTCCAATGTGGTTCAGGTGAAATCAGTGGAATAAAGCATCTCATTTGAGATGACGCTAATCAGATACATTTACAGCATTAGAGCCATTAGCCTGGAGTAGATGTCAGTGTCGCTGCATGTTGGGGAACATACGTGTCTGTCTGTCCGGAGATAGTTGCATAGCTGTTGCATTTATACTTCTGTGAATTTGAATGTTCTAGCTAGAGGACGCTCAAATAACAAAGCCAACAGGAAGTTGGATCAGTCAATCAGCCTGCAGAATGCACATCTCAACACAACATATAGTTGAGATTTGGGAAATATGCGCATCAGCTGGTCTGCAACCTTCTGCAACCCACACTTATCCATCAACCCCTTTGCAACGTAGGTATGCATTGATGTCTATATGCAGTTGCAGACAAGTCTAAAAAGCTATAATCAGGAGGTATGTGTTGTGCGTTTTTATAAGTGGAGAGATCACATCTTCTGTTTTTGTCCTATCCTTCTGTTTATATTCACCATAAGTTGACGTGGCCTACACACAGAGAAATGTCTGACTTATATAGTACATAGGCTGGTTGTAGCCATGTATTTCTATATGACAGTTGGAAGGCCCGTCTTTTCTAGGGATTCTGACTTCCTGATGTAGAATTTGTATACACAGGTAGGCATTTCTCATGTCATGTTGAACATATCAATTTATTCTGATTGCTACAACATATGCAAAATTCTTAGTTGCTGGTTATTTAGAGCTTAGCAATATATTTTTATATTCTGTTCATTTTTAAAATTTAAGGTTATGTTATCACCTTATAGCCCCCTCCCTCCAGGTAGATCTTATTGCTCCAAATTATTTCTGTTCTATTTTTTTATCAAGTTAACTCTTCCAAAGTTTATTTTGCTTATGTATCACCGATGTAGTTTACTCAACTGCAGATGGTAAGATTTTGATTTAGAATAAACAATATAGTAATAGATAAAAATAAAAGTTATTAGCAAATAGATAAACAAGGATACTGAAGACATATTAAGCATTAAGAAATAATTGGCATGTGAGACCATCTGTACTAGTGTTTATTCTGCAGCAAAAGTTAAGATTGCTCTAACGATACTATTTTTGCAGTTTCTAGACTCTTCACAACATATTTGCTTCATTTTGGTTGTACTCACCAATCTCACGCATAGTTGCAATTTGAGATGACCCCACCTCTTCCCTTCCCTTTCCATTTATAACCACTTCCCATTTCTAATCTCCTGCTGTCTATGGATTGTTGGGTAAACCAGAAAATACATGTAGTTATTTCTGGTCTTATCGTTATCATTCCAGGAAAATACCAAGTGCATTCTGGAAACATATGACTTATAAAATTGGTGTAGACTTGAAAATATGTAGCAGAAGAACCACTGGACAAAAAAATTTGATGAAACTTTAAAGCACTCTCAGATGCCTGCTGGCACTTGGCTGAAAGGCCAAAAAAAGGACATCTGAAATCACATTGTGATTTCCTGCTAGAAACCCTCCATTTTCAGTCTTTTATTTTATACTTAAAAAAAAAATAGACTTATATACTTATAGAAACTTCTTGTTGCAAAGCCTCTGAGAAACTCTTCAAAGATATCATTTGAATATGTACTAAGACAATGCTACGACTTAAGAGCCAGTATGTTATTCAAAATAATGATTTGGTAATCACATATTGCAGATCTGTTTTCAAGAAAAGAATGGGAGACCAAGAAAAGTAAATTACTGCAGCAGAGAATCATAGAAACTGTAATGTAAGATAATGTGTGATAGACTTCCCTTAAACACATACTGCAGTATGGCACTTGTCAATCCAAAAAGTATAGACTTCTAAAAATATTATTGAAATGTCTATTTGAGTGTGCTTATGAAATGTTTTTGTCATGTATCTAAATCAGTGTACCTCAACCTTGGAAACTTTAAGATGGGTGGACTTCAACTTCCAGAATTCTCTAGCCAACCATGCTGGCAAGGGGATTCTGGGAATTGAAGTCCATCCATCTTAAAGTTGTCGAAGTCGAGAAACATTGATCTAAATAAACCAAAGCACAGAAAGAATTAATATCTAAAACAAGATAACCCATTTGTCTCAAATGAGTTACCTTAGAAGCCACCTACCATAGTCAGAGAAGCTTGTTGGGGGTTTCTTGAAGGCAAATGCTATACCAAGATCATCGCTGTCATAGTGGCTCTGATTGAGCTGAGGCAGTGACACAGCATTCTTGATGATGGGTGAGATGGCGGGAGGTGCAGATGAGCCCTGATCCCTGTTTCGGCTTCCCCGGTTCCTTAGCGGGCTCCTCCTCACGTGCCACAATGTCCGAGCAAAGAAATTGTGGGGTTTGACTTCCTCTCCGCCATGGTTCCTAAGGAAAGAAGTGTCTCCAAAGACATCACCACCACGTCCCACATGCATGGTGTGACGAAAGTCCCCCAGTGGTGGGCTGATCATGTCCGAGGTCAATTCTGTTTTGAATCGACGTTTGCTGTGTGAGCCAGATACCCAGCCAATCACGGGTAGCTTTCCAAGACTCATTTCCTAGCCAGTTGACAAAAACCCGACCCAGAAATTCAATGTGTCCTTCAGAAAAGGTTGATGTATACGGAGGTATACAGTTGATGTATACTGGAAGTATACGGATGTAACTTAAGGATGGTCACACACCTGCACCCCCCATTGTTTATGTTTTCTTTCGCTGTTCTTCTTCCTTCTAGACTATTTAACAAAGAATAAAAAAATAGGTCTATTGTGGAACTTCTGGGTTTCTTCCAGGACAATGTGCCTAATTTGCACTGTTCTCCCCAGTCCAATTTGATAGTGACCTTTCAGAGTTTTCATGTACCTACTTATCTGATTTGTTTCTTGAAGGTTTGGGTAAGCATCCTGGTTTCTCTTTTTGAACAGCAATGGTCATTAAAACAGTGTTTGCACTTGTCTGACTCAATGTGTGCAAAGCTGGAAAATCAATATTATCGAGCTGATTCGTCTTCCACCATCTCTCTTTCTCAATTTCTCAATTTCTTTTGTAAGAACCAGCAAAACCATGGGGGCAGCAAGTAACGGGCCACAGTGGGAGTCTCACATCTCATGTCCCGAGCCTGGATTGTTGCCACACAGCATCCTAGAGAAGATAAAAGAGACAAAGTCATAGTTGAAGTTCTCAAACTATTTTAAAACAATGAATTTGAAAGTGGACACTGCCTAGTAACAGTCTGTGATGGAAGTACAACGCACAAGGTTAGGTAGAGAAAAGCTACATGGTACATTGAGCAGATTCCTTCTAGAGTCCTCCACCAGGTGGCAGGGATGGTTTGCATCTCTGTCTGCAACGTTTATATTTGTATTTAACACACAGTGCAGTTGATCAAACAATTCTAGAGAGATTACATATTAATAGGTGAAATGACTTTCTTCTTTGCCTCCTCTGTAATGTTGGCTGGAATTATTGTTAGCTTGAAATAGAGCCTGATGGCAGAATTTGCTGCAATATACTATATCTCTATGTCTGTACCCTCCAGGTCAGAGGCAAATGATTGGCTGGGGATGCATCATCTTGCAAGAATTTCCCAACTCTTTTTCTGCAGAACCTCAGATCTCTATCCTAGCTATATGTGACTTAAGAGGATCCTTTCCTAACATGGGGTTCTGGGGCAAAGTAAAATAGCTAAGATACCATCAAGTCAAAGTCAACGTTTGATGACTCACAGACATATCCAACCCATGCCGTTTTCTTACCGAACAGTTTGTTCTTGTTTTTTCTCCCAGGATACTCTCCCAGTGCATATTTTCAACTGGTGCAGAGTATGGCGGTGTGGGCAATTCTTGGGGTCCCTAGGATGACCCATGTTACACCACAGTGCGAGCTGCACTGGCTGCTGGTCTGCTTCTGGCTACAATTCAAGGTGATGGATATTACCTTTAAAAAGCCTGCATAGTGTGAATCCAGGTTATTTGAGAAATTATCTCACCTCACTGGAACTCACTATTCACACCAGCAGAGGAGGCATGCTGTGAGCCCCTTCAGTCAAGGAATTCCAGCTGGTGGGGTCCAGGAAAAGAGCCTTCTCTGCCGTGGTTCCTGCCCTTTGGAACATCCTAGAACCTAAGATGAGATTGGCTCCCACCCATCTGACCTTCTGCAAGAGCCTGAAGTCCTGGCTCTGCCAGATGGCTTTGGGCCCAAACGGAGGAAGAGTGGTTGTTGAATTAAGAGGCAAATCCCCCCACCCCACTGAGCATCCTGTTCCCTCCCTCCAGTGGTGGGTTTCAAATTTTTTTACTACCGGTTCTGTGGGCGTGGCTTGGTGGGCGTGGCAGGGGAAGGAAACTGCAAAATCTCCATTCCCTCCCCACTCCAGGGGAAGGTTATTGCAAAATCCCCATTTCCTCCCGATCAGCTGGGACTCGGGAAGCAGAGAATAGATGGGGGCAGGGCCAGTCAGAGGTATTTACCGGTTCTCCAGAACTGGTCAGAACCTGCTGAAACCCACCTCTGCCTCCCTCTCCATCTTTTAACTACAATTTTATCTTGATTGGGATTTCTATTTTTATTATTTTAGAGATATTTGTCAGGATTTTAATGGTTTACTGCTGGAAGCCTCCCAGAGTCATTTCATTAAGAGATGGATAGCAAATAAATTCACTAAATAAATAAATAATGAAATAATATTTTAAAAATCCTCAGTCTTCCCAAAAAATCCTGAGATTTCCTAGTTGTCTTCCCTTCCAGTACAAACCACATCTGACCATGATTAACTTCGGAACCCAGCACTGCCACCTGCCATTCCCCTCAATGGTACAGTCACCATCATGCTATTTGCCATTATCAGCCAAATATTACAAAAGTTGTAGTTAAATACATCCAAGGACATCTGGTTGAGGAAAGCAAACGTCTTCTTTCCTGTTCCTGATTTCAATAATGAAGATGCCATGGCCAGATGTGCTTATAGTTGATCCAATCCTTTCAAGCAGTTAGGACTTTGTGACTTATGTTCAGCGTTTCCATAAGTGTAATTGGTTGCTGGAATATTGGAATTATAATGTCACATCTGGAGAGCATCAGATAGGAAAGCTATTTTACAAACTAACTCTTTGAACATGGAAACAATCCTGCATAGATACTGCTTTGGTGAACCAAAGTCTATACAATACTACACACTGACTGGCATGTACTTGAACCCACATGCATCTGTTTTTGCTCAATATCCAACATTTTAAAGTGCCAGATATTTGAAATATTACTAGCATTTGCACATTATTAATGTACTGGCTTAATGAAATGCTTCTTTATACACTTTTCTCAGTGGAAAATGTTCTCTCCCCCATTGTGCTGACTTAACTATATCCAGAAATCTCTTCAAATGTCTCCTTTGTTTTCTATGTTGTGGCTCACCTTGGAAAGGCCAGAAAGGCAGAGCAGGAATAGCTACTGAATCACTAAGTGGTGTCCCAGCTCTGTGTGTTTTTCCCTTTTTTCCCCCTCTCTATTTGTTCATTCAGGGTTAGTCTTATCTACTAGGTTTAGAAACTGGCAAATTTTTTTAAAAAAACTGAGTAACTTCAGTTGGAATTTATGGCACATACTAACTGCTTTTTAAGAGGAATGTGATTGGGTTGCAAAGAAGCAGTTCAGTGTTTTAGCAGCCTGTAATCTTAGCCTATACACAGAAAGGAAAGAAAGTAATGGTCCCCACTGCTGATGGAAACAGGCATTTGTTGTTATCACGACCCCATGGACAACCTTCCTCCAGGCCTTCCTGTCCTCTACCATCCCCCGGAGACCATTTAAGCTCACGCCGACTGCTTCAGTGACTCCAACCAGCCACCTCGTTCTCTGCTGTCCCCTTCTTTTTTTGCCCTCAATTGTTCCCAGCATTAGGCTCTTCTCCAGTGAGTCCTTCCTTCTCATTAAGTGGCCAAAGTATTTGAGTTTCATCTTCAGGATCTGGCTTTCCAAAGAGCAGTCAGGGTTGATCTCCTCCAGGACTGACTGGTTTGATTGCCTTGCAATCCAAGGGACTCGCAGGAGTCTTCTCCAGCACCATAGTTCAAAGGTCTCAATTCTTTGGCATTCAGCCTTCCTTATGGTCCAACTTTCACAGCCATACATTGCAAATGGGAAAACCATAGCCTTGACTATACACATTTTTGTTGGCAGGGTGATGTCTCTGCTTTTTATATGCTGTCTAACCTTGCCATAGCTTTCCTCCCCAGGAGGAAACATGCATATCAAAACATAATAAAAGGATTGCATACATATTATAAGCGATAGGAGTAATTGGGACATCTTGCTGGATTTCATCCCCATGCATATTTGGGGATGGGGGCTCTGTGACCCAATGTCATCCCTATGAGGTAGAACAGAACAGGAACTGACTTCCAGGAAAGCTAGAACTATACTTTATTGAGATAATCTATACTAATAGAAGTATAGATGCCTGTGTTTTCCCTACCCTCCCTCTTGTCTATGGAGATTCTCAGTCATCCAGGTCATGGTTGTCCCAAAGGTGCTTTTTCAAGAGGCAACTGGATTTTCTGGTTTTTCTTTGAAGATATTTCACTTCTCATCCAAGAAGCTTCTTCAGCTCAGAGCTGAAGAAACTAAATGTCTTCAAAGAAAAACCAGAAAGTCCAGTTGCCTCTTGAAATAGCATCTTTGGGACTACCCTCTCTCTTATACTGCAGGAAGTCAGAGGGATGCCAATGTGAATCTTTTTCTAATAACTCTCCCACCTCTTGGGCATAACACATGTTTCTGTACCTGTTGTTGATCTAAAGGTGTTTTTGGATGCCTTCTCCAAGTTATGTCCATGGTGGTTCCCTACACCCAATCAAATAGCACATTTTTGCAGGACATGTCACACAAAGAGAGAGATGTAGGTAGCATCCCTTGTGTCCCTTATCAGTAATGATGTCACAGGTCCTCCTTTCTTCTGATGAGTATAAGGGAAACAACAAGGCTAAATATATGAACCTCTACAATGGTAGAATAGATAACCAATCTATTACATGGATCACGAAAATCTGTTCTAGTTGGATCCTGCTGAACAGTATCAGACTTGTATTTTACTGAAAAGTACCCAAAACTATCCATTTTCTTTCCTAGAAGGGAGATTAAAATTTGCCCATGCTAGTAGGAAAAGCTATGGTGTTGTTTGTTTGTTTTGTCCTTCTCTAAACAATTCATGGCAATTGTGACTTTTCTCTATCTCATCTCAGTTACCCTCCATCACCTTCCTTTCCCTGAAGCCTAGCAGATCTCGCTAATATCATCATGAAAATACTGATAGGAGATAGGGGTAGAGAAGAAGGAAACAAAAGAGCAGAGGAAAGTACTTGTAGGTGGAATCTGCTCGAAAGCTGTGACAGGCCAAGCAGAAGATTATTTTCTGTTTCTCGACACAAACTCTTATTTAACCAACACAACTTTCAGAAACTCAAAAGTGTTGCTTTCTTTTGGATTTGCTGCCCTGTTGCCAGCAGCCACCTCAGCCTGCTCTTGCTAAAGAACGTTGGCTTCTTCCAAAAGCCACAGCTTTACGTGCCTCCTTATCATCCATCTTTGGTTTTGCTCCTCCTTTCCTTGTTTTTCCTGCCAACCAGCCTAAGTTGCTACTGCAGGGACTCTCCCAAACTCTGCTCCCCTGGAGCAACATAATCAACAAAGGTTCTTCCCATTCCTTTGAATTTATCAGGAACCCAACATCTAGTTATTCTTTTGTTTAAGGAAAGTTTATGTACAACTACAGATAAACAATGGCTGCATTGGCATCTGCCTGCCTGTCTGTCTGTCTCTCCATCCATCTTTTAATTTAATTAATTAATTTGATTTAAGTGCTGCCTGATTCCAGAATTACCTTGGGGTCCTTCCTTCCTTCCTTCCTTCCTTCCTTCCTTCCTTCCTTCCTTCCTTTCCTTCCTCCCTTCCTTCCTTCCTTCTTCCCTCCCCTTCCTTCCTTCCCTTTCTTCTCATAAGATTGTTTACTTCACTACTTAATCTAATGCTGTTTACTTTCAAATGTGACTCTAAATAGCACTTTTGTTTTACATCTCTTTTATTGCTTTTGCAAGTGTCCAAACTGACCTTGTCCAATTCAAATCCCACCCCCCCAGATATAACAGACAATGATCTTCACCATGCCTACTTAACCCAGCCACAGATGAAGGGGAAAAAACATAACATATATGGAGGGTGATGAATTGGGCAAAGTTATTTTAATTTCTCCAAGTTAAAAGGCATTCTTGAACAACAGGTTTGTTTTATTCCTGTCTTGCCTTGATATAAGAACCGTAAAACAATTGGGAGTGAAATTAGAAAACATGATCAACGTCTTCTTTTATTTTAGGAAATTCCTGTCTGTTATCCAGACGGTCATAGTTACACAAAACATGAACAGCCTGTTAGCACCAGAATGCAGTTCAGTTTACAAGTTCAAAGGCTCAACCAGAAACATTACTTTGAAAAAAGAGTTCTAGCAAACAAATGAACAAAAATGGAAGGAAAAGATCCAGATGGCTCTTTGATTGGGATATCTGTAATCCAAGCCACCCCTAAAGGTAGGAATATAAAAAGTGGAAAGAGCTAACTCTAGATTGTCCGAAAAAGGAACTAATCCTGCTTTATTCCAGTTTTGAGTTGAAATCCAAAATATTTGCTGGAAGGATTGCTTTCTTGCTAATTTTCCCTAGCAAGTCAGCAATTAAAACATAAGCTATTTAGTTAGACACTAAATTAAAATGCTGTCTAGAAATGGAACTACCAACATCTGGAAGATCTCTAGTTGCTTCCAGGCCTAAGAAATTAGACTCATAAGCCACAGCAGAAACATGAGAGGTTTCTGGTGTGTGTGTGTGTGTGTGTGTGTATGTATTAACATTTGTGTGTGTGTGTGTATGGATCACATAGAATACTCTTTTTTTCCAGACAGGCTCATGTTTGAGTCTGGCATCTTAAAGTACTACTGTACTTAGTTCTATTCACATGATCACACTCCACAGTTAAAAAGAAATTCTGTTTTATGCTTGAAAAAGTTAGAGTCCTATTCCTTCAAGCGTATGATATAAAATCCCACCAATCCCACCCACCCACCCACACACACACACACCACAATTTCTACTTTAGCAGTTACTCTTTTTTTTCCCCTGGCTGTTCCACATGGTACATCTGTCTTGGACTCAAACCATTTCTCCATTTTACTACCTTTTCTTTTTTCCTCATTCTCCTACCCTTCCTCTCCTTCTCTTTCTGCATTCCGTTTCTTACAATTCCTCAGGGCTCCAAACACCCCATCCAGATGGGGTGAATTACGTCTCCTATAATTCCCAAGCCAAAATGGTGAAGGCATTATGTATGTATGTATGTATGTATGTATGTATGTATGTATGTATGGGACCGTTTGCCTTTTCCCCTTAATTTCCTTGTCCCATCTCCATCACCATCATTACCTTCATCTCTTTCAATGTCTTCTTCAACCTTTCCAGCTCTACCCCATAATTTCTTTTCCCTCCTCCTCTCCCTTTCCCACACTCCTCCGCACGACGTACTAAAATTCACCCGCGACTTGCCGAGTGTATAAAAACTTTAAATTCTAATCTTTAGAATTTACCTGTCCTGGAGGGGGTGGAGAGGAAACCACACAGATTGTCGCCTTTCTGAGTTTTCTTAAGTCTTTTTTTTTCCCTTTCCCCCACCGAAAGAAAACTTGCCGGAGAGAAAACAGGAGTTCTGAAAACTCTCTTTTAGCACCGCAGCCAGCGGAGGGGCTCTTAATGCCAGTGACGTTAAAAGTCCCTCAATCGTAGCCTCTGTCCCCCTCCCCGCCTTTTTTTCTTCTTCTTTTCCTCGCCGCCGTCCCTTCACCGCGGACATAAAGGAGCCGAGTCAAGCGACGGACACGGGAGAGGGATTTGGAAAGAGGGTGGGTGGAGCTTCAGCTCCGATTGACCAATCCCGAGCCGACAGAGAATGAAGTTCGGCGAAGTCGGAATGGCTTTCAAAAAGTCCAGCCGAGGGAAATTCAGAAACTCGTGATCTTTCATCTTTCCCTTTCCCCTCCTCCCCCCTCTCTTTCCGAATGAGGGCGTCCTTCTTTAAGAGGCTGAGGTGGGGAATATTTTCCTTCCAGGAATAGATTGAAGGATGGCATTTTCAGCTCTCTCCCCCCCACTCGGTTTATCAGGAAAAAAAAAAAAGTTGGTTTATTAGATGTTGGTTGACAGCTTCCCCCCCCCCCAATACATCTAACACAGCGAGTAAGTGACTACAAGGTTTGATCCTGTACGTTGCAGCTTCATCGCCCCTCTTCTTGCAGTGCCAAATAGGGATCAGGAAGGGACGCCTTTATTCCCCGCGTGCCTTTTGTTTACCTGAAGCAGTTAGAGTGCCGTTGTATTCGGTGCGATCCTAAATTCGCAGTAGCGCGGGACAGCTGTCGGTGGGTTCCCAGATGCTGCTGAACTAACAGCTCCCAGGAGTCCCATCCAATATGGCCAAGGAGTAGGGAGCGTAGGTGTTGTAGTTGAGCAATATCTGTAGAGTTACAATGCTCCATCCTGATTTAAGGAGCTGTAATTTAACATAGCCCATAGACAGGGTCTCCGGCCTGAGGGTGGGTGGGTGGAGGCAGGGAGGGAGGGTTGGACTAGGACAGGGGTCTGCAACCTTAAATACTCAAAGAGCCATTTGGACCCGTTTCCCACAGAAAAGAAAACACCAGGAGCCACAAAACCTGGGTGGGCATGGCCAACTCGATGTCACTCACTTCCACAAGTCACATGACCCCCCCCAACCATGCCTACCCAGACGGTCATTAGGGCAGAGAACTAGTTGTTTAAAAGACACCGGGAACCACACAATCCTTTTGACATCTCTCTCTCTCTCCTCCCTCCCTCCCTCCCCCTCTCTCTGTATCTCTATGTCTCTGCCCTGGCCGCTTCTCCATCCCCCGCCGTCGCCCTTACCTTCTCAGACCAGGCGAGGGGTAACTGGGAGGGGAGGGTGAGGGGCAGGGCCGGCCAATGGTGGGATCACCTGACAGGGAGCCACAGTAGAGGGCCCAAAGAGCCGCATGTGGCTCTGGAGCTGCAGGTTGCTGACCCCTGGACTAAGAGACCTCCAAGAGCTCTTCCAACTCTGTTATTCTGTTATTTTGCTAGGAGCGTGTTTGTATGTGTGCATGCGTGTGTGCTCACATACATCTCTCTGGACCTACAGTTTCAGAACTGCCTTTATTTAAATGGATGAATGTAAGATTGATATTTCATACTGCCCAACTTACTCTTCAGAGCTACCAGTTAGTGAGGATGTGATAAGTTACTGCAGGAAGGTAAAATGGATAAATAAGAAACTTTGTTATCAACGTGGCTAGGAATTTTTTATAACGATATACGATGAGGTTGTATATACCACTGAAAGGCAAAGATTTCTTTGTGTCAAGCATGACTTCTGGTGATTACATGGCTGTACCAGTGTAGTGTTTGCGCGAACAGGATTGAAAAGTTAGCTATAAATTTCTTCCCAGATTATTTTTCAACTTCTTAGTATAACCTATAGCCTTGCAGTTGTTTGATAATCTCTTATGAAAACATTAACCTGATCTAACCCAACTTGTATTCCAAGATCAACTGAAGTGAGCAATGTGTTGCAATTGACTTATTTATTTACTTATTTCTGCTTTTCTGGATACACTTGTTTCCAAAGTCACCGATATATAACATTAAAATATTTCTTTAAAATATCCACAAACACACATTCACTGTTCAATCGAGTTGCTGGAGAAGTCCACTTTTGGGGTGTTCTTTGATTTTTTCCCTCCCTCCTCAAATCCTTAAGACGATTATATTTAAAGCATAATATTTTCATGAGCTGTTCTTGTTGAACTCTTCCTTCCTTTATTACTCAATGTGTGGTTGATCAAGTCAAATAAATGACTTTGCCTATTACCCAAACAGTAGTATTGGGGAAGGATGGTGGCTCAGTACATGCAGTATATTGCACAGTAAGGCCAAGTTGAACCAAGAAATAATTGATTGAAAATGGAGCTATAGTGAGTTGGGTATTCTGAAAATTTAGAATAGAGTTACACCCCCTGCGAGGGAATTTCCATTCATCCTTAAAGCAGCAACTTTACAGCTTGAAGCTTATTGCTAAACAATCCACTATTGCCTTCTACAGTTTTGTATCTGTAGTCATGTTATATACTTAACCAAGTCACTGCTTTTCATCTTGTATGTTGTACAAGACTAGCATATTTGGTTAGTTGATGGTTTCATATGCTGTGTTTGCAAGCTCAGAAAACATGTTAATTCAGTAATTGACTTCATGGGACATGAATGCCATCTCCGTTTCGGCTGTGCCCATTTCTGGAGAAACTGGCCTGCCTAATCACTTCCAGGATAGATTAATATAAAGTGTTCTAGATGGCGGTGTCTTTAATGATAGCTCCAAAGCTGCCATTCAGAAGGCAGTTATCAGAGTTCTGGCTGGAGCCTGTGGGACAGATTTATATATGATTGTAAACCATGCTTTGTTTCATCCTGATTTTATGAATAAGACACAGTTGAGTAGTTAATGCAATCATATTGGCTAGGTTCATACATCATGATGAGCCTAAACAAACCATATGTCCTAGAAAAATATAAGATATCTGGTAACAGCTAGGTTTACACATGGTGAGATTTTATACATACATACATACATACATACATACATACATACATACATACTACATATTATTGGTTTGCTGGGCATTTAGCGTATTATGCGAACCAGCCACTTGTGACTGTTTCAGTAAATTATGATTAAACATACCATGACTTAATAAGATAATATGAATTACCTTGCAGCTAACCCTTAAAGCACACATTTGATTAATATGTTTTCAGGTTTCAGTACAATTCAATCCAATCATAAACCTCAGTTATCTTGTACACTTTTATCAAAACAGCGGATACGAATATATTACTGTGGTATGCTCATATTATTAATAGTGCCCAGGGCTGTGTTTCTCAACCTTGGCAGCATGTTAGCTGGGGAATTCTGGGACTTGAAATCCACACATCTTAAAGTTGCCAAGGTTGAGAAACACTGGCCTAGGGCTTATGGAATGTTTGGAATTTATTAATGTATTTCAAGGTTTAAAAAAAAACACCTGAAAATATGACAGGGAAATCAAAATTTGTACACCGTCCAAGTTAAATACATTTAAGATATACCTATTGCTTCATCACATGTATACTTATTGCAATTTAATTTTGTAACATCATGCACACTTCAACAAAATAACACTCACTGTAACTCATTGAAAATATAAGTGCAGGAAATACCTTTATAATCCTAACATTTTGGATTATTACAGCAGTGAGAATTTATGAAGATAAATAGACTGAGAATCTACAAGGGTCTTAATGTAGCTCTGTATCATCAAACTCCCATACTTTGACTCAGGAGATACAGTTTGTCCCAGTCTTCAGACTGAAGTACTATTGTTGCTGTCCGGATACTGGCAGTTCTTGCACAGTGGAAGAGTTTGCTAATCTTTTAAACCAGTGCAAACATACCTGAATACTCCTGCTGAAGTTTTCATAAAACTGGGAGAAATACTTTCCTCCTATAACAATGGGTCTCAGTTAGGATGGCATTGAGGAAAATATAACCTTGCTCTTCAAATTAATGATACTGCTGTGTGGTTGACACTGTATTCTATCAGAAGACTAGGAAGCAGTAGTGTCACACACTTTTTCATCTGATAAGCTCGTGATGGCGAACCTATGGCATGTGTGCCGGAAGTGGCACGCAGAGCCAACTCTCTGGGCACGCGAGCCATTACCTGTTGCTCTTCCAGGTTCCAGCGCACCAGCCAGCTAGTCTTCATACGTGTTGAAGCCAGTGGTAGGTTTCAAATTTTTTTACTACCGGTTCTGTGGGCATGGCTTGGTTGGTGAGGCATGGCTTCGTGGGCGTGGCTTTGTGAGGGTGGCAGGCAAAGGATACTGTAAAATCTCCATTCCCACCCCACTCCAGGGGAAGATTACTGCAAAATCCCCATTTCCTCCCGGGACTTGGGAGGCAGAGAATGGATGGGGGCGGGGCCAGTCAGAATTTTTACTACTGGTTCTCTGAACTACTCAAAACGTCTGCTACCGGTTCTCCAGAACTGGTCAGAACCTGCTGAAACCCACCTCTGGTTGAAGCGCCAGAAACCGGAAGACCAGATGGCCGGTGCACATGTGTGCACTGGAAACCCGGAAGATTATCTTCCTGGCACGTGCATGCGTGCCAGGCAACTGTTCTTTCAGTTTCCGTCACTCAGTGCCGAAAAGGTTCACTAACAATGTGATAAGTCATAACAAGAAGTATTCTCTTTATAAAGAAAGTTCTTTATTGCCATTAAATATATATTTACATAGACTGCCATGTCATTTGATCTTCTCACTGTAGTAGTCAGAAAAGATGAAGAAGGGTGGGAAATAATCTTAAAGCCTGCCCAAAGTCTCTAGTGAAAAGTTTTAAGGAATTTTATCATAGCCTTTTCCGGAAAGTAACGTAGAGCCTGTTTAAAAGGAAATACTATACAGAAGAAACACCTATTAACCCTGGGAACAATAATATGATGATGATGATACCAAGGCTTCAGGCTTGAAAGACCTATATTTATGAAAATCTTAACAGCTAACAATCAGGGTGTGGCACAGAATTACTATAAAGCACAAAACTTGTTCAACGGAGGAATTTATCTGCAGCATCAAAGCTCAAAATTCTGTAACCAAAAAAAGAAAAGGAAGGGGAAAAAAAAAAGAAAAGAAAAAGCAACAGACCGGATTCCATTCTCCCCACACAGACCTTCTTCCATCCCAACAGCCTAACTGAGAAGGCAAAGAATTTAGAATCTCTCGGTGGACCATTCCAAGATTTAAATTCCACCACCCTGTGGCAACACTGTAATCAGTGAC